CTGGGGATGTGCCCGCAACCAAGGTACATGCCCTTGACCGGAATCAAACCCGGGACCCCTCAGTCTGCAGGCCAACGCTCTATCCACTGAGCCAAACCGGTTAGGGCTGCATTTTTATTTTTATTTATCGCCCTCATTGACGTCATCTTATGGCAAAGCAAAATCCTGCATAATAAAGAGCTAACATGCTAATTAGACCAAACAGTAGAATGACGACCTTCCGGATGAAGCCTGGGCTTGAGGGCCCAGCCCCTTGCATGATTTTCGTGCCTCAGGTCTCTAGTGTTTTAATAATTAGAAGCATGTACACAGCAATCATGCTTTTTCCAAATAAAGCAGCAGTTTTCTACCTGTTTCATCTCATGGCACAAGTAAACTATTTACTGAAATTCAAAAAGTATATTATACCTTTTGCTGATCTGACAAAAAAAAAAGGTACAATTTGGATTGATTTACTGGGAAAAATGATAGTAATTGACTTCCTTTTTGCTCCAAAGCGACTTTTTTAGTAAAGCAGGTGCCTACACTTGTATATGAGGATTTCTGGTACCAAGAATTAACCGATCAGATGCAATCTTATTAGGTGACATGACCAATACGATGCAACTCTGTTATATGACCTATATGTTTATGATTCAATAGAGGGAATTCACACCAGGTGGCTATTGTTGTGTTGGCTATTGTCATTTTTAAAAATTTGACAATCTCAGGGAAGAGAGGTCAGGGCCCCTGATTAAATAGTATTGCATGTTTTAAAAATTCTTGTGGCACTTCATTTGAAAAATTGCTGAAATAGAGGAGCAGAAAAAATAAGATGCAGATTAGCAGTTTTTTTGAGGGAAGGAACAATTTCTTCACCAAATTATTATTTTTCAAATAATTGCGCTGTGATTCAATAATGTACTTGTGTGTTTGGCTTTCAGGATATTTGTGGATTCTTAGTGTCATGACTTTGCTAAATTAACCTTTTGGTAAGACTTTTCTCTGGTACCTCCAGAAACAGAATCTACTTGTTGCCTTTATTCCATTGAGGTGCTCTGTGCCTTTTTAAATAAATATTTTTATTGATTTCAGAGAGGAAGGGAGAGGGACAGAGAGATAGAAACACCAGTGATGAGAGAGAATCATTGATCAGCTGCCTCTTACACACCCCACACTGGCATGTGCCCTGACCGGGAATCGAACCGTGACCTCCTAGTTCATAGGTGACGCTCAGTCACTGAGCCAGGCCGGCCAGGCTATCTTGTTAATCATTTTAAGTCTCTGATCTGTCCCTGTCTCATTAAGAAAGACCTACCCGTTTCTGCTAAACAAATCAGTCCCCTCCCAAACCTTGCTTAAAATTCACCTGCACTGTGAATTCCTTGTAGACTTTACTCAGCCAGATTAGATTTCCTTGAACTTGAACTTCCTCTTCTGCACCGACATCCCTTACCTCCTGGAGGGTTAAATGAGAGCCTGCATAAAGCATACCTCTCTCCAGCCGACACCCGTCCCCAGCAGCCAGCAATGTCCCCGCCGTCCTCCGTCACTGGTCCATGCGGGCATATGTTGGGTTTGCCTGCATCGGGCCGGTTCCGTGAAATACAGGGCTCACTACGGAACAGAGATGCACAGATGTGGGATGTAGGAGACACAGGGAAAATACACAGCCAGGGGTCAAAGGTGAGAGCACGCAGACCACTGGCTGGGAACATGAGGGCAGTTTTCATGGAAAAGGTGACATTTGCTAAAAAAAAAGGAGCTTTTATGAGGGTTCCATAAAGGTAACGACCTGGTGGCCTATGTACATCAGGGCCTGGTCCCGCGCCAGGCGTCGAGAGCACGCTTAATAAATATTTGTCAGATGGATGATGTGACCTCTAAAATCCGTTTATTACTTGTCATTCCACTACTGTGACTCATATAAAGGTAAAATTATTTAAATGAGACACCTCCGCTTGCCGTTCAAGGCATGTCAATGAATTGTCAAGCGGAGTCGGATGGAGCAAAGGCGATGGAGTGTGAGGTGCTAAAACACCGTGAAACTGCACGGCCGGGGTGGGACCCTGTCAAGGTGATACGGCATCCGGCTGTAGCTGAGGTCACCTGGATGCTTCACCTGCAAACACAGGTGGAGCACAGACCCCGAGCTTGTATGTGTCTGCTCCGTGCCATTGGGGAACATTTGGGCCATTCATTTATTTTTTATTTTTTATTTACTTATTTATTTTAATACATTTTTTTTATTGATTTCAGAGAGGAAGGGAGAGGGAGACAGAGAGAGAGACATCGATGATGAGAGAGAATCATGGATCAGCTGCCTCCTGCATGCCCCACACCCCGAGCTTGTATGTGTCTGCTCCGTGCCATTGGGGAACATTTGGGCCATTCATTTATTTTTTATTTTTTATTTACTTATTTATTTTAATATATTTTTTTATTGATTTCAGAGAGGAAGGGAGAGGGAGACAGAGAGAGAAACATCAATGATGAGAGAGAATCATTGATCAGCTGCCTCCTTCCCCGCCCCCCACTGGGGATCGAGCCAGCAACCCGGGCATGTGCCCTTGACTGGAATTGAACCCAGGACCCTTCAGTCTGCAGGCCAACGCTCTATCCACTGAGCCAAACCAGTGTGCTCACAATGTATTGAATATATAGGATCCTATATGTGTGTGGCCACTCCCTGCAAAGCTGTTTTAACTCCTAAATAGCCATATTTATACTTTTTCTCGATTCCCTCACACCATGGGAGGCCTGTGAGCTATTGTAGGCTTCCCGTTATAGAAGAATAAGGACCTATATTAACTCGAAGAGAATCTAAGACGGGAGCAGAGATGAGCTTCTGTTTTAAAAGAAAACATGAGCCCTAGCTGGTTTGGCTCAGTGGATAGAGCATTGGCCTGCAGACTCACGCACCCTGGGTTCGATTCCCGGTCAGGACACATGCCTGGGTTGCAAGCTCGATCCCCAGTGTAGGGCGTGCAGGAGGCAGCCGATCCATGATTCTCTCTCATCACTGATGTTTCTCTCTCTCTCCCTCTCCCTTCTTCTCTGAAATCAATAAAAATGCAAAAACAACCACACGAAAGTGGACTCGCTCACGTGACAGTTTACCACCTGCTCCTATGCCACCTGTGTGGTCCCGGGCACCGGGTTGCGTGTCAGTGCCAGCCTGTTAACGACGCCACACTTGCAGCATTGGCAGGACCCAGGGCTCCCACGCCGCTTGTGGGGGAGACGGTCTCGCTCTCGCCTCTCAGCCAGCACAGTGGCACCGTGAGGGAAGCGCGCCCGGCCTTGGCTCACTGGCCTCTGTCACGTGTGAGATCCTGTGTCTCTGACCGACGTCTGTGTTTTCCTTCCAGGGAAGAGCGACCCGTTCTGCTTGTTGGAGTTAGGCAACGACCGGCTGCAGACGCACACCATCTACAAGACCCTCAACCCCGAGTGGAACAAAGTTTTCACCTTGTAAGTCCTGTAGCCTCTGGACTATCCGGGGGCATTTTTTTTTTTTTTTAATATATTTTATTGATTTTTTTATAGAGAGGAAGGGAGAGAGATAGAGAGTTAGAAACATCGATGAGAGAGAAACATCGATCAGCTGCCTCCTGCACACCTCCCACTGGAGATGTGCCCGCAACC